TCTGTGATTCTGTGATTCTGTGATCTCATTGAGCCTACCTGAAAAATTGTTATTAAATAATTTGGTTTTTAACTACTTAATTTGAATTGGAGGAAACTGGTAATGGATGCAGTTTGAATATGCTTACAGCAGCAAGATCTGAAATTTGTGCTGTACAAGGAGAGGATGCAGGGTAGTGGGCTGTTTTGTTATTGTTATGTGTATATATATGAACAGAATTGTGTAACAGGTGAGCATTACTTACACTTCTTGTTTGTTAAATTCCATAATGTAAATCTGTAGTAGTTCTGTTATAATGGCATTTCCAAAAGTTGTTTTCCAGAGTGGCTCATGATTGAGGAATGTTTTATCACTATTTAATATATGATGTATTGGGTTTTATTGTTGTTTTTTTTTTTTCTTGAGATAGCAGATGAGGAGCATTTTTACTCTATTTTGTTCTATTAGTTTCCATTAGAGTGCACTAGAGGCAGTGTATATTCATTCTTCTGATAGCTATAGTACTGCAAAAGAAAACCTTGTGAAATGCTTCTGTTTCTACAGGAACTGTATATAGTTTTATTAGTATTCAAAACATGGCTGTTAAAACTTCAAGGCTTTTACATGACTGTTCAGACCACTGCTGCTGTGTTGAGCTTGTTTGTTGATGACAGTTACTGGAATGCTGATCTTTATGATCTAGTTAAATATGGGAAACATGAGGGCTGAATTCCTAAGCTGCTGAAACTTGTGTAATGAGGCCTCTGTTAGTGAGGACTATGTACTGGCTTATTCTTTTATAACATATTTGTGGAATTCTTTTAGAATGTACTTGTGGAAGTGGAGAAATGTTCTGTTAGAAAGGAAGTCTGAAGCGTGCTGCTGTAGTGAACACTGGACTTGGAGTGCTTAGCAAGCTACCAAAGTCTGTGATTCAAATAGAGCCCTATTTGTATGTTCATGTTACGTTCGTCTATATGTCATTTTATACATTTAAAATGTTATTTTGGATACCTTCCACTAGTAAGTCTTCATAATACCAGTGAAACGTAAAGGTTTTTAATTGTTCTTTGCAGTGCATTGTTTTAGTGCTGTCTAATTTATTAGAAACAAAACTGAGATGAGTTTATTTTAGGATGAGAATGTAAAATTAGGAAATTTACTGTTTTCTTTAAACTTTTTTTTTTCTTCTTTTTTTTTGGCCAAGATGTACCATGTGGTGGTCTTGAATAGGAAGTTTAGGGCGGGTGGAATCAACACGCCGTACATTTTGTTGGAAGTCCTTTTAAGAAAGAACACAGTTTGTTAAATAGTAGTTTTCAAAATTAGCATAGATTTTTTTTTTTTATCTGTAAGCTGTAAAACACAAACCTTGTGTAACAGCTGATGTTTGAAGGGAACATAGTCTAATTAATTTTACCAGGGGAGGTCATTGCACAGTAGGAGATTGTTGCCTGGATATTCTTGATGCTATCTCTTTGGATATCTCTTTTGGTCAGTGTATATTTCAACATGAAATTCTGGGGTTTGTGTTGCCTATATTGTAGTCTTCCGTGGTTGAGGCATGCATGGAATCTTATAATCTTCCACGTCTGATGAGGCTTATGCTCATGCATGAGGGGATCAAACACAAGGGCATCTCTGCCCCAGTATTGCTGCTGCTGCTCACTTAATACAGAAAAATGGTGCTAGGAAGACTCCTCCCTGCTCCAGCAGCAACAAGATGGAGTTCTGCAATAGTGCATCATGTGTTAGAAGTTTATCCCTTCAGCATTGGCAGTGCTTCTGGGGCAGGAAGGCAGCTTCTTCCTACTCTGCCATTTATTATTTCTCCTTGGTGTACAACTTGAGAACCATGTTTCTATCCAAGCATGATCTTGCTGCATTTTTTATGTCCAATAACTGTAGCAGACTTGTGTAAGTTGTTCACTGTAGTTTGTCACTTACTCTTGTATCTCTCTTCCACAAGAAAGAAGGATATTCCTCAATTTTTATAGTAGCAAAAACATTTGGAGGAAAAGAATTTTAATTCCTATCTCTGAAAGCGTTTCTTCTAAAAAAAATAAATAGTTTATAATATCTCAGCTCAAATTTATGCTAGTGATAGTAGCTTACATCATCTGCTGTCTGAGACATCAGCTGGTAACCATCAGCAGTCAGAATGCTGATTTACATGCTATTCAGTGAGACATGTAAGTAGTTTCCAAGCCTGAAAAGTGTTAGTATCTTTTCTTAATCCTTTGCCTTTGGTCTTATTTTTACAAACTGTCTGAAAACTCGGACGCAGTGACAATAGCATGGAGTGGCGACCTTCTAGTCCATCCACCTTTAGATGGGTGAACAATGTGATAAACCTTGCAGAAAATAATGTTTACTCCAAGCAGGCTATGTGACTGTTTAATCTGTTTATCGCAAGTGAAGCTTCACTTGACAAGTCTACTTGCCACCAGTAACACCAACACTCTCCAGATTCCTAAGTCAAGAATGTAGAAAAACAGTTTCAGATAGGTTTGTTAGGGAATTAAGCTCAGTTTATATCTTTGTGATTTGTGGACAAATACGTTATACTTTCTCTTCAGTCTGGTTTCTACTTAATTCGAGAAGTAACAGCTTCAGGTTAGAGAGACACTGTGCCAGAGATTCTCATGAAATAACTGGTCATTAATTGCACACAAACTTCACAATTTCTACTGCTTTCACAAAGTGCACTACAGGAATTGGTAGGGGAAAGAAAGGTTAAAAAACCTCTTTTGACAGCCTCCTGCATATCTGCTTCAAGTGGTTGCTTTTCCTCCTTTATAGGAAAACTTTAGGTTTTTAAAAAGCTGTTAAGATGGTTGTTTCCAATTTACAGAATTTGGGTGGAGGGAAGGGGAAGCTGATGGAAGAGGAACTGTTAAACTTCAGGTTCAGGCTTTACCATTTTTTGGCTCTTTTTTTATTTTTAATACCCTTTTAAAAGTCTGTATTATTATTCCTTTCATAAACAGGATTGATTAATCTCAGTATCTAATTTCCAGCTCTTGTGGGAGCAATATGAATTAGGTGTTTGAAATTTCATTTTGTTCTTGTTGCTTGAGGAACAAATAGCTGCAGTTTCACGGTATTAAGGAAAAGTAATTTTTCATTAGCAGAATTGAAGGAGAGGAGATACATAACAAATACATTTAAGAAACGAATCTTTTTAATCCCCTGCTGTTACTCCAGGATCCTTAATTATCTGTTGTTCGAACATGAGCTTCAGCTTCTGGATATGAAACGCTGTATTGTTTACCTACACTTAACCTACTGCTCTCTGACTTAGGACAGATTCTTTCTGGGTGACTTTTGCTCTGTTTACCACCCTCTTTCACAGGAAGCTGAATGGTTAGGACTTTACTATTGCTTCACTTTGTTCATAAAATAGCCAAAGTAATTTTAACAGATATTTAAAGACAAATTAAATTCTGCTGAGACATCATTGTTGAATGGCATTTACGTAATGATCTGACTAATAAACAACTTAATGTAAAGTGTTTGATCAGATAAGCTTCTAAACAAGTAACTGCTTATTAATTTGCTAAGTAGTAATAATAGATAATAATTAATGGTATAAAGCCATGCATAACTTACAGGAAGAACAGTTAGCTAGCTAAAACAATAGAAGACTGAGTTTTGAGTCTGTTTCTGTGTAGAGTTATTTGGTTAAGATTTTATTTTTACATGACTGGTTAAAAGAGTACAACTTATGTTCACTTCACTGGTATATTGGTGCTTAGAAGTACTTTTGGCAGAAGGTAGTGGTGGTGTACATATCTGTAAACATTAACTTTTCACTGTGATGGAAATAAATAAGCAGACGCCAAGCTGGCACATACATTCTGCTTTTACACTGAGGTTTCACTCAGTTTTTTGAAAGAATAGGTTTCCATTTAAGAATAGTTCTAATGGAGGCTTTTTAGTTTTCATTAGCATTTTTGTCTGTTTGGCATTGCCATTTGATCAGGAAATGTTTGGAGAAAAACAGCTGATGAGAGGGATGGTGAGTTAAATATCACAAATACTGGAGAAGATTTTTTTTGTAGTTTTATTTTTCATATAAAATATATACTCCGCGCTTTACCCATCTTAAGTTAAGAAAAAAATGCATTTGATAGTTTTTGCTTTCATGAGTTACAGTCTGTTTTTAAAATGTCTGTGCTGGTAGTTTGTAAATATCCTGAAATTACTCCCTCTGCTCTAAACATGTATATAAAAGTGTAGACTGTCTGTAGCATGCATGGTTTTATTTCCAATGGTGTGCTCAGAGGTATGTAAATAACCAAATGCTTTTTCTAAATGAGAAGGGTTTATTTTTATGTGCCTTGATCAAGTGTGTTTTTTCTTTTTCTTTTCTTTTTTTTTTTTGTTTTCTTGGATATTTCTTTTAGGTAAAAAATTTGCTGTATCATCTCAGGGAAGCAACAGCATATTGTTGGTTTCATGGGGCAGCAACTCATACCAATAATGAGCAGATAATACCAGTTAAACAGTGTCTGGCAGCCAACGTCATCACAGTGGCAGCACTGCAGAAGCAACATCAAAGAGCAGGAGACTTTTGTGTTCCTGAGACAGTGGGAAACATGCCCAGTATCTCAGCTGCCAAAGCGACTGCAGTTTCCACATAGATCTCTATAGAACTTGTAACCATGTCTGTTCGTGCAACAGAGAATGACCCTCCTAGATTCTTTGTGGGTGGAGAAGATGGAGAAGAACTATTGGATTCAGCCAGATCTACAGATTATGACCACTTCTATGATCACGGGGAAGAAGAGGAGGAAGAGTATGACTCTGTATGTACTATAGAAGGATGTGTGTACTGTTTTGTATGTTCTCTAGCATTATTTTACTTCAAAATAACCTTAGATCACACAATCTTAATACTATATGGTGTTCTACCTTGGGAAATTGTTCATATTCAGATAATGATCTGTCGGTTATGTTTGGAAATGCGGCACACTTGAAAGGTAAGTATACCTTGAACTTTGAAGTAGATGTGCTTGACCTTAATGCAGAGTTTCACGGGAGCTGAGGTTTATGTGCCAGCTTTGCAGACTTGATTTGGATTCTGATGGCATAAGCCTTCATTTTATTTATTTGGATAATTAGTAGCAAAAAGATGATCAGACGTTGTCTCTGTGTGTGTGTGTTTGTGTTGTCAAGTGATGCAGAGTTTACTTTTGATTTTTTCAGTTTGAACAGACTCAGCATATTTATTTTTCATCTTACTGTGGTTTTCATTAAAATCCGAGATGTTTTCATTTTTCTTCCTTGTCTTAGTGTAGAAAGTACATGTGAAATTAACCTTAAGTTACACCTTAGTTTATTATCATTGCAGAGTGTTCTGAATTGTATTTTAGCACTGTACTTACCAATTTTTAGTTTTTTAAGACAAACTCTTAATTTTATTATGCTTGAGTTGTCATGTTATGTCACTTTTTAGCTGTATTTTGCTGTTATTTTAGTCTGTAACATTTCACTATAGGGAATGCAGAGATTAAATTTTCACTGATGACAATCATGTCTAAAAATTTAAATGCAAGGAAGTTTTATTAAGCACTTCACCATGAATAAAAGTAAGTTGAAAATGCATAGAAGTAGTGCAAAATTAGCAGCTCAGACAGCTCAATTCATTCAGTCAGTGTATTTTAGGGAGGGAAGGTAATTGGCTGTGTTTTAAAAGAACAGTAAATTGCAATAAAGGATTGCTCTAGGTTGTTTTTTGTTTGTTTATTTGTTTTCTTTTTAAACAGAGGAGTAGGTTGGCTGTTGCACTTAGGAATACCACTGGGTGGAGCGGGTGGAATTAAAAGCTTATAACATGAAAGAAAACAGAGTATGCAGAGGAAAACTACCTATGGAAAAAATAGCTCAGAAATCTAGAACAGTATTTTCTGGTTCACTAGTTTTCTTTTGCATAATTCACTTGTAATACTAGGTAATAAGTCAAGAAGCCTTGTGACTACTAAGTAGATGTAGAAAAAATAGTTTAAAAATTGCTAGTTAATTTTGAGTAAGCCATAAGTATGATTTCATTCAGATTTGACATTTCTGACTTAGATTTTGGTCCTATGTATTTGTTCCTGATACGGTACTTACAAAAAGTAGTGTAGAGCTATTGAACAGGCATTTCTTTTTAAGGATGTGGTGTGGTGGTGTGCTGCATTTTGTTACCTGCGAGCAATTTACTTGATTAAAAACTAAATTAAACATAGTAAATTAAATTTAACAGAAAATGCCTGCTTTAATATTTTGCTGCTAAAACCCTATTGTGTTCTGATAAAAATAATTGCTTTCCCCTCCCCTTTCAGCCACCAGAAAGACAAATCGCAGTTGGAATTTGTTCAATGGCTAAGAAATCTAAGTCCAAACCAATGAAAGAAATTCTTGAACGGCTCTCCATGTTCAAGTACATAACTGTGGTGATATTTGAAGAGGATGTTATTTTGAATGAGCCAGTAGAAAAAGTAGAAAACTGGCCTTTATGTGACTGTCTCATTTCTTTTCATTCTAAAGGTAAATCTTCTAATAATACCATAAATATTTTTTGACATCTAAATACCTTAACCAATTTGAGGGTCTTTTTAATTTTTTTGTCTTGTATTTTTATTGGATTTTCCTAGGAAGTTATTCAGTTGTATTGTTTAATATAATAAATCTGGTTTTTAAAATACACGTTCTTTAACTGATACTGGTTTTAGTGCTCAAAAAGTCCTAACTGACACAGTATTTAAAGTAGCTTTTCCATTGGTAAATATTTGTGGAGCCAGTGGAAATGGTGATCTCATATTTACTTGGTCCAATAAGTGTGAAGGCATGCTACTTTCTCAATGGGAGTGTTTGGTCTCTGGCCATTTGTTCATGTATCTCTGCTAGGTTTTTTTGGGGCTCTGATCAGTGATCCAAAGTTGAGTAGATTCAAGTAAAAAATCCTGTTTTCAAGCAGAGGCAGTAAAAGCCCTAGTTCTGACCCTGTGGTCGTGAAGGGTGTGTGAAATAAAGAGAAGGGAATTGGGCACAAGATCACTACTTTTGGCAGCCTGTACTGAAATTAGGCTGTAGTTGCATGATCATCTTAAGCTGATATTATGTATGTCTGTAATTGAGTATCCTCCCACTTAAGCTATATCTCTGGTTGTACTCTAAAGCTTGAATATGAAGGTTCCAAACTATTTACTGGTGTTGTGTCTTGTAGTTTTAATATATTTGCCTTAATAAATGTTTTAGGATTTCCACTGGACAAAGCAGTTGCATATGCAAAACTCAGGAATCCATTCATAATCAATGATCTGAATATGCAGTATCACATACAAGACAGGTAAATAACACTGATTACCTGTAAACAGCAAACTACTGACACTGAGAATCTGTTGGTGCTGCATAGCTAAAGTTCCAGTGTATTGTACTGTAGTCTAAATAAATTACAGTGAATGTTACATTTTATTAATGTATGCGTAGTTTTCTGTGATATGTCTTAACTGTGTTTTTTCTTCTACTGCTTTTATATTGATATGTCTGAAGATTTACCAAGGTGGAAATAAAAATAACAAATAAAAAAGTTCAAACTCTGAAAATAAGTATAGCATGGGTATGTATAGCAACTGTACAACCTCCTATAATTGTAGAATTAATGTGACTTAGGGTCTTTTTTTCTGTTAAGTGGATACTTAACAGATGGTTTTGTTATTCAAAGATCATGTCGTTATTCAAAGTGCATTTTCTTTTGGGGCTGAAATAATGCAGAGCAAATATTAACAAAACAGTAGTGAGCAAAATACATAAATATTGGAGCCTTCTGAATAGTGAGCAGACTTGCTATTTTGGATGCCTTCAGCTGCTATCCTATATAAACTTTTTCAACTGTTCATGTTAATAATCACCTTTAACAAGAGAATTGTTCTGTGTAAACTGCTGTTGCACTGCCAGAGTGGAGAGGACAGGGCTGGCATAGTAAATTACGCTTTTATTTATATTGATGAGATCACTGCAAAGGCACAGGTATGTCAGTGACCTTTAAAGCATTATGTTAACAAGCAGAATATTATATATGTAATCTTATCCTATGTAATTTAAAAATAAAAAAATTTATGTATTTTTCTCCTCCTTTACTCACAGACTGTAAAATACAAATACTGGCAGGATTTGCTGTTTTACTGTGCAACTCTTGTCCTTTTCTTTAGGAGAGAAGTATACAGTATTCTTAAAGCTGAAGGCATTTTACTTCCTCGCTATGCAGTTCTGAACCGTGATCCAAACAATCCCCAAGGTAAAAGCTGATGACTAAAATATCAACCATTGACATCTCATTGTTTCCACTGGAGAACAGTACATACATAGCGGAAAGCTAAGATAATTAATTCATTGGTGCAGAGGTTGATTTCTCCTCCAGCATTTAAAGTATTGTTGTAGATTAACCCCTGCAGGCTGTGGGGGCAGTATGTGAAACAGAAAAGGCATTGAAGCTGTGTAAGCACTCTTCAGCTGTAACTAAAACAGCAAGACTATTTTGGTCACAAATTCAAAACATAGCATAATACCAAGTGCTATGAAGAAAATTAACTCCATCCCAGTCAAAGACAGTATAAGTATGCATCTGAAAAGCATGATAGCCATCATAGAATAACTAGAATGTAAGTGCCTCCAAACTCAAACTGAGGTTCCATTATGTCACCAATGAGAGCAGCATTCATGATGTTCCATTATCCACAGTAATTAGTAATTTTACTTAGGAAAGTAGTATTGACAGAAACTAGTCAGAATATTGAATGCTTTTCCTTCTAAGTACAAGCAGTCATGTATGCAAAATCTGGTCCACAAAGATCTGCAGACGATATACTCTAAATATAAATTGGAATTATTTTTTTCTCTACCTGAAAATGAATAACAGCTTTTTCTACTAAAATGAACACTTACAGCAACAATACAAGATTGCAATGACAGGTGAAGACACAGGAGTGAGAGATAATTAAAAATAAAATTGAAGTATTATTGTGCTGTAGCTCTTAAGAGGTAGGATGTTTTAGGTTAAAATGTCTGCATAGTCTAGCAGGAAAAGACTCATTTATGCTGCAAAAGTCAAATAAAAGCTGCTGCGTGCAGCCAACTAGTAGTGAAGATTCCTGATCCCTGAGGACCTAATCCTCTGTGCAAGGTGCATCAATCACACAGTATGAGATAGTTCTCAGCATATTAAAATTCCTGTTGCATCTGACACCTCACCATGTTTGCTGTCCATCTGCCATCCCCTTGATATTTCAGAGAAAGGCACTGAAGAAAGAGATAATCAGGTGCTTCAGCCCTACCCTGTGTCTTCTAAACACTTCAAAAAAAATGCCACCGATGTAAGCTTATGTATTGGTAGGAGACGATGTCCTGTCTGACACTGAGAATCAAAAGAAATCCAGAAAGTATTAAAGTAACATAATATAGATGTGCTATAGCAGATGTGTTCAGTACATGATCATCAGGTCTTTGTTCAGTCAGTAGCAAATCAGTGAACCAAAAATGTAATATATTTTTATTTCAACCTACAGAATTACCCCAGATCTCTAATAATTTCATTCCATGAATATATTATAGTGTCTCTGTTTTTCACACTGTTTGTTCAGAATGCAACTTGATTGAAGGAGAAGATCATGTGGAAGTGAATGGAGAAATTTTCCAAAAGCCTTTTGTGGAAAAGCCAGTTAGTGCCGAGGACCACAACGTTTACATTTATTATCCAACATCTGCTGGGGGTGGAAGCCAAAGGCTCTTTCGAAAGGTGAGGGTATTGTATTAAAGCTATTGAAAAGTTGTAGATGTGTAACAATTGCAGAGGACATCAATCTTATCCGTGTGTTAGCTGGGACCTGTTTTGTCATGTCCTGCCTGTGTAGTAGTGCAGATCAGAGAAATACGTTTCAGGAGAACATGTAGATTGAATAAAGACCCTTGTTCCTTGCAGTAGACTGTCAGCCACTGCAGATTCTTACAGGTAAAAAGAAGCATACGCTGCCAGTGCACTTTTAGAATTTTACAAAAATCTTTTGGGAACTGTAAAAACCTACTTGCTTCATTTGGTACAGGAAGAGTTTTCTCTGTACAGGTATGTTGTTTTAAGGAGTTTTACAGTTTCTCAGGCAGCAGTGTATGAGTTCATTAATAGATAAATATTCATTTCAGATTGGCAGCAGAAGCAGTGTTTATTCCCCTGAAAGCAGTGTGAGAAAAACAGGCTCCTATATTTATGAAGAATTCATGCCTACAGATGGCACTGATGTGAAGGTATGACAACTGTGCATTCTTATTTATATTTAGAGCAATCAAGTGCTTCATGAGCTTGTCAGTTTTAAAGAAGAAAGACTATCTTTATGTCAAGGATTAATTTTAATGAAGTTTTGATACAGTTCATAAGTAAAGAATGTAATTCCTGTTCTAGCTAAACCTAGTACTTTTTAATGTCAAGCAGCCTTGGTTATGTTGTTGGAATCAAGTGCTATGGGTTATTATCCAACACATTTTCTTTCTTTTTTGTATTATACTAGTGCCAGAACAGCATATATTTTATTGTGTAAACAGATGCTGCATAGGTACTTTGTATGAAGGTCACAAAGTATTTTTAAATTGAAATACTTTTTACCAACTCTCTTAGTATCCTAATTAATAAACAAAAGTTACTCAATAAAACTACTTGAGGTTGCAGGAAATAATGCATTGACCTTATCTGTAATTATTTTCATTCTTTTGTTCATTTATTTTCTTAACAGATGTAAAGATTAGGTATCATAAAAGAATGCTAAATTAGAGCAATAACAGAATAGGTGTTAAGCCACCCATGTATGGAGATTGCTTTCTTTCTCTTTGTGTTAGTTCTGGCCGTTTTATGCCCACTACAAAACATGTGAAAGAAATGTTTTACAATGTGCATGAGACATCACAGTATTTAGACAAAAAGTTAAGGTTTAGAGAGTGAGATCTAATCCAATCGTAGGTTAAAGAGCCCTTTTACCAACTGCAGTCAACTTCTTCCATGTGGTGACACATGAATGGGATGCTTGTTTTATGTTTTCAAATAAATTCCCCATTCTTTTAGGTTGCTGTTTTCATGAGCTATACTCTTCAGATGTTATATTGTGCAACACTTTGCAATAGGTTAGTCTGAGTTGACAGATGTCTCTGTAAGAGCTTTAACAACTGTTTCCAAAAGAAGAGATTCTTGCAACCTGAAGAGATGCAGATGGATTGAGGTGTGGGAATTACTTTGACCACTTGTATTGTAGTCATCAAGCAGCAGCTGTGAACTCTTAACATGCCAAATACATAATGGATTTTCTTCAAGTAATACAACTGTCAGCTTTATATTAGGCAGCTTCACCCAGTTCACTCTCTTTGCCCTTGAATTGACTAAATTGCCAGCATTTGCCATCTGGTTTCATTGAATACTTTTTATGAAAGCTCAGAGTTTTGTTTTTAATTAAAGTAGCAGTAACCCATTTCTGAGAGCTGCTGTCAAGTCTGCTCTAGCATATGCCCCGGTTCTTTCAGTGAGCACTGAAATTGCAGCAAAGTAGATAGCACAGTCATCCTCTCAGGCCCCTGCCTTGTCATGTTAAAACTAAGCAGATCGTTGCTTTGTTTAGTTCTGCCTAAAATATGCAAGTACTTTTTAGTAAAGAGAATTACTTAGTCCTGCAGCCAGTTTTCCCTAATCAAGTAAACTGAAATAATTCTCAACGTAATCTGCTCTGGAACTTCTGCAGATGTTTTCATAGAATTATAGAATGCAAGGGGTTGGACGGGAGCTTTAAAGATCATCTAGTTCAAACCCCTTTCAGTGAGCAGGGACATCTTTAACTAGGTCAGGTTGCTCTGAGACCCATCAAACCTGACCTTGAATGTCTCCAGGGACAGGGCCTCCACCACCTCACCAGGCAACCTGTTCCAGTGTTTCACCACCCTCAAAGTAAAGAACTTTTTCCTAATTGCTGATGTCTAATGTGAATCTACTGTGCTCTAGTTTAAAACCATTTCCCCTTGTTCTATCACTACATGCCCTTGTAAACAGTACCTCCCCAGCTTTCTTGTAAGCCCCTTTCAGATTCTGGAAGACCACTATAATGTCTCCCCACAGCCTTCTCTTCTCCAGGATGAACAATCCCAAATCTCTCAGCCTATCTTCAGAGCAGGGGTGCTGCATCCCTCTGATTGTTTTTGTGGCCCTCCTCTGGACCAACTCCCAGCAGTTCCATGTCCTTCTTGTGTTGAGGGCTCCAGAGCTGGACACAGTACACCACGTGTGGTCTCACCAGAGCAGAGTAGAGCGGCAGAATTGCCTCTCTTGTTCTGCTGGCTATGCTTCTTTTGATGTAGCCCAGGATGTGATTTGCCTTCTGGGCTGTGAGCATGCATTTTTGGCTCTTGTCCAGCTTTTCATCCGCAAATACCCTCAAGTCCTTTTCCACAGGCCTGCTCTTTATCACATCATCCACCAGTGTGTACTGATAACAAGGATTGCCCCTACGTAGGTGCAGGACTTTGCACTTGGCCTTGTTGA